TTGCACATTTACACTTTCTTGACAATAAGCTTGCCAGTGTGCATTAAACAACAACTGCTGATGCTGACAAAGGATCAATTTCATAATACTCTTACAATCTGCAGGCAACAAAATCTGTGTACCCCACAAATAATCAATCATCTGTCTAACCGGTTCACTGGTCACTCCAAACTGACTGGCTGTAGATCGCAACTGTGATAACCATTTCCAATCTAAAGCTGTAATTTGAGCTTGTATTCCTCCCCCTTGCATTGGTGCAAAGGTTATGGGACATGCTACTTCTAATACAGCGTCTGCTATTTCCTTATCTCCCTCTTGCAAAATATTCCGTGCTAACGTAACCCATGTTTCTCTCCTTTCCCGTGCAATAGCCTCACTTAACTCACACCCCACCCCAGAGACAGATTTATTTCCCGTAGGGGAGGATGGTAACGGTGCTGAAGGCTCCGTTCCAGAATCAGGGTAAGTAGGTGAGGGAATTTGGGATAATACAAAAGAATCAGCAGCTGGAGCAGGAGTCAGTGGCAGCAGCTGGAGCAGGAGTCAGTGGCTGAGCGGGGGAAGTCAGTGGTTGCGCGGGGGGGTTCAAAATTACTGTATTTGTGGCGGGTGGCAATGGACACTCATTAATTCCCTGTAAAAGTCTGTTTTCTGACATAGCTGTAGATGCCTGTGTGGCAGCTGCCTGTTCAGCCTGATACTGCAAAAGATCATTATGAACTGTCCGCCACAGTTTTCCCAGTTTTTTAGCACCTTTATCATCATCTAAACTAGCGTCCCACAATTTATCTCCAAGTTTTCGCCACTCACTTAATTCATGAACTGTATGGGGATTCTGAAAACAACCCTGAGCATACCCATAAGCAAGAAGTCCAGGAAGCTCCTTGCGCAAATCAAAATCTTTAACCTGTCGCTTTTCTAAAAAGCAGGTAAATAAATCATATGCTGCTTGCCTTTCCATCTTACCATCAGCACTGTTGCAGCCTTACAAGGTTTCGGCAGCACATTACGGCAGGACTCTCCTCTAAGGTCGCCTGGGCGCGGCAACCCTACTGTGTGATCAGGACCCTCTTCCGAGGTTGCCTGGAATGCAGCACAGCTGTTGCTTTTCGCCGTCCTTGCTGCGGAGGACCCGTCCCCTGTCACCGGCTCTCGTGGCCAACTCCTTTAAAAGGTCCCAAAGGTTCCAAAGGTCCCAAAAAGCTCTGAATGTCCCAAAAAGTCCTTAAGGTCCCAAAGGTTCCAAAGGTCCCTCCTGTTCGGGCGCCATTTGATGAATTCGGCGGGAGAAATGCAGCACTCAATATGAATGATCAGCAAGTCTCGTTTATTGGTAACTCTAACACCACTTATATAGCATCAATAATTAGGCTCATACATAGTGCAAAAAGCAAGCTCATTATTGGATACTTCATTTAAGGTCAACTCCACCTAATTCTACATTCCTGTGATCGCTCATCTATGCTGAATTCACATTCTTCTGATCACAGCGTCCTGTTCTCAGTTAACAGTTATCACCAAGGCCTTCCTGACTTTGCAACATCTCACACCAACTGTACTCTATTGTCTAATTCTTTCCCAGCTAACTGCTGCATAAGAATATGACCTTTGCTCTCTAGCCATTCCTCTATAAAAATAGTCTGGTTTTTCCATTAGAAAATACGTAGCCATAGTCTCCTTGGACCAACGCCAGCGCTACAAGGATGACTTCAATGCAGAGTATGAGGAATACCGAAATTTATATACTCGGATTGACAAGATCAGAGAGTACTTCACACAGCTTCAGGAACAATGGAAGTCTGTGACCGCAGGCTCTGAAGCCCATCAGGTAGAGAAGGATAAAGCCATGAAGACTGTGCTTCATCAGAGCAGTCCTTTGGATTCCCTGGAGCTGCTCAGTGAGATGCAGGGAAACTGAGGAATTGGCATATATGCTCAGACACTGCTTGGGCTGGGTCAGATTTTTCACAAGACCCTGCCCATAAAACCCTGTTTGAGCTGTCTGAGAACAATCCGTAGGGTGAGAGGTGTCCCAAGCAGAGTCTTAGAGCATGTGCTCCTTCTGGTGCCTGTTGAGAGGCTTAATTGCAGATCTGGGGTAATACTGGGAGTTGGGGATTTGTTGTTGCAAACCTCCCAGAAGAGTGATGGCTCACAGAGAAGAAAATCTCGGGAGTCAAACGGAATGCATTTGTAGTGCTTTAGTAAAGTTTGCATTTTATGGTGGTAGTGAAACATTCTTTGTGTGTTTTTTCTTGAAGATGCTGCTTCATCGAATCCTAGCAGATTATCAGCAGATACAACAGGTATGTTTGACACCAGATCTGCAGAGCGTGGTTACTGCTGAGTCTGGCTCAAGGCTTTTTTAAAGCAAAGCACACCTTGTAAACTCTGCAGAAGTCTTTGCCTGCCCTATTTTTTTTTTTGTTTTATTTCTCCTTCATAGGGTAGCCCCAGATACTTTGAAACGAAGAACAGGTGCCTGTACCTCCACAACAAGCTGTCACATATTCAGAGCCTCATATCTGAATTTGACAAGCAATAAGTGGAGTCCTGGCACCAGGCAACTGCTTCAGCCAGAAATATCTATGAACTCTGGATTTTTTATTACAACTAGAAGATTAGGTTTTTAGGATTATTTTCATTAGTATTGAACAGTAGGTTATGTTAGCATTGAGCAATAGATGACTTTCTAAAAATGTAGAATTAGTTCAAAGAAGTTGAGTAAGTTAATGGATTTCAAAGATGATATTACTGAACTTTAAGAATAAAGAAATTTCCCTTGTGACAACTTCTTCTCTCATTGTTGCTTGTATCATATTGAGGTGGCTTTTTTCTTCTGGTTAATTATTTTCTTCAAGACGTATGTTTGTCTAGTGAAATAAATTTATCAGGAAAAGGTTGAAGCCCAGTACCTCTACTATGAAGTTGCCCACATTTTAAGAAAGTATTAGAGGAAATAGCAATTCTTTATGATACATATAGGGGTGTTTTCCAACCGTTCTCCTTAATGCACACTCTTTGCCTTAAGTGGTCCAAAGAGTAGGAGTTTGGACAACCCCCTCCCCCAGTCAGCTTGTTTGGGAGGGTTACAGAGGAATGTGTTATGGGTTGCTCTAAGCTGTCAGCTGAAGCAGCTGCCAGGACTGCCTGGAGATCATGGCCTCATCTTGTCAGTGAGCCAAGGAATATCCAGATCTTTTGCAAGTGTTCTATAAAACACATGGAGAAGTGTTGGAGGCAAGGCTCATCAACAGATTTTAAAGAGAAAGTGGCTTGAAATGTCTTTATGGAGACTGTCTGTTTTATAGTTTTTTCCAAAATAATCTGTCACAACCAGTCTTTCTAGAGAGACACAGATGTTGATTCCTGCACAGACCTAAAGGGATTTTGAAGTCTAGTCTTTTACCTAAGTCTCG